ACAACATCACCCTACCTCCGATCGACCGATTACTACGGTCCCACAGAATCTGGACACAGCCTTCCATAAAGCCACTAAAGTCCAAGAGCCACACTTACCACAGTTCAATGCAAAGAAGTTTTCAACTCATAATATGGACCCCTTTTTCAAGGCACAAGAGATCGATGACAACTACAAAGTGATCAACGATGTCAAGAATAAGAACTATAAGATTGACGACCGCAAGCTGGTTCAGATCGAAACCATGACAAGGCGAATGTTCTTCGGCCTTAATAGATCTAGAACGATCAATGAGACTCTTATATCCAGATTTCGAGATTCGACATCTGAGGATGACAGAATGATCTACTCGGCCCTACTTATGCAAAAGAAGGACCAGCAGTTTCTAACGGATCATCTCACATCAGTCTCTGCAGCACTAACTCTGGCTCGTCGTCAAGGCCTCCTCGCTTCCTGCAGCTGGGGTGAGCAGTTTACAGCTCCACTCTACACAGCCCCCGTGGTCTACGCCATCCATCTTCGACGGAGGAATAGATAAAGTCTCTAAGGAAGTCACCAAGGATTCTAGAGAAGTCCTTATGATAAAGTCGATGGACACGCTAGCCAGCGTCATCAGGCAGACTTCACAGAGATATTCAGGGAAATCTAAATTCACTGGATTACAGAAAGCACGGGATAGGAAGATGGCCAGCTCCAGAGGAAAAGATTCTTTTCGTCGCCCATATGGCAACTACAGAGGAGGATCAGGAAGAGGCAGGGCACCCAGAGGTTCCCAACCTGGAGTCTTCCACCCCCAGCGTTCCAGTACTACCGTCACAAGTGGGTGGACGCCTTCAACTGCACTGGGAGAACTTGGGAATGTTACAAGACCCTTATGTCTCCAACATTCTTCAACACGGATATCGAATCCAACTACAGGCCACGCCTCCGCTGACAGTCAACCCTCACAAGTTCGACTTCCAGGCGCAACAACTACCAAAGTTAAGAGAGGCTGTTACATCTCTCCTAACCAAGCAGGCCATAGAAGTACTAGATCAAGTAAACATCGAACCAGGCTTCTACTCCCCAGTTTTCCTAGTGCCCAAGAAAAACTCCAAGGAGAAATACAGACTCATTTACAACATGAGCACATTCAACAGAGATTATCTATGCAAACCGCCAACGTTTCGCATGATACATCTACCTCAACTACGGCACCTAATTCGTCTCATGGACTACATGGCCAGTATAGATCTGCAGGATGCTTATCTACACATCCCGATACATCCCGAATCCAGGAAATACCTACTGTTTATACAAGACGGGCTGCATTATCAATGGAAAGTACTCCCATTTGGAATATCATCGGCCCCCTGGTTATTCACAAGAGTAACGAAACCTATCGTCACCTACCTACATCGTCTAGGGCTACGCAGTGAGTTTTACCTTGACGACGGGATACAAGTAGAACAAGATCCACAGCATCTCAAACTACAGTTAAACTTCATCATCAAGCTACTAACACAGCTAGGATGGTTAGTATCTCACTCAAGTCGGACCTAGTACCAACGCAAGATCTGCAATTTCTAGGCATTCGATTTATCACGACACTGAACCGTATCGTCGTACCAGAAGACCGATGGCTCAAGATCCAACAGACCATCCCACAAGCCTTACTCTCTCCGCTACCACTACGACAATGGCAGAGTCTGTTGGGTGTCCTCACGTCAGCCCAAGACATGACAGTCAGAGGCAGACTACAGTTATGTCCGTTACAGGTCTTCATCAATGCTCATCTGGACGACCTACAGCCATTCAGTCTACCGAAACACATCAGACCTCATCTACTATGGTGGACCAGGAGGTCGAATGTCTGCGAAGGCATTTATTTAACAGAGCCGGAATTCAAAACCCATCTCTATGTAGACGTGTCGCTCCAAGGTTGGGGAGCTCATCTCGCCAACCGGACTGGATCCCGGATCCACAAGCGTGGGCAACGGACGCTCTAAGGATATCCTGGGAAGGCCTCAACGCGTACGCGTTTCCGTCGCCAGCGTTAATCCCACAAGTGTTACAGAAAATCAGACAAACACAGAGCCTCCAACTGATTTTGGTCGCGCCCTACTGGCCAGCGAGAACGTGGTTTCCCATTCTAATTCAAGAAATCGGACAACCAACACTAGAGCTACCAAAGCGCTCGAATCTACTAATACATCCTCACACCAAACAAGCGCACGGAAACCCAGAAGCATTCCAACTTCACGTATGGACTGTATTAAAGTGTGTCTAAACAAGAGAGGTTATTCAGCCATAGCTGTGAAAGCAGTCACGCTTGCTTTACGCTATTCTACACGTAACTTGTACGACGACAAGTGGCACAGTTTCGAAACTTACGCAGCTAAAAAGGGATGTACAGCGAGAAATGCTACACATCCACAAGTGGCTGACTATCTGTGTTACTTACGCCAAAATAAACATTTAAAAGGCTCGACATTGTCAACATATCTTGCCGCGCTTAGTTCTGTGATAACTATGAGAATGGGTGTCAAGTTAACCAAAACACCAGAGTTACTGGCTTTACTACGTGCATTCCGATTGGAGGATCAGAAACAGAAGTTCCGAGCTCCAGCATGGGATCTTAATATAGTGCTCCAACACCTCACAAGTGAGGCTTATGAACCACTGGAATCAACAACTTTTGAATTTCTCTCACAGAAAACATTGTTCCTGTTATCCCTAGCAACGGCAGCCAGGATGTCAGAAATTCACGCACTAGATTATGAGAGAATACGGTTTGACGACAATCAAAACATAGTGCACATGGGACTACGATGGGATTTCATCGCCAAGAATCAATTGCCAGGTCAACCGGACAGATTATTCCATGTTCCTTCACTCTCCTCAATTCTCGGATCTCAAGATACGCTGGACCTATTTCTATGCCCAGTCAGAGCTCTCAAAATCTATTTACGACGATCGAAAACGAGGCGACGACATCTCAAACGATTATTCATCCCTCTATCGACAGCTACTCAGACTGAAGTCTCTTGTACCACCATATCAATATGGATAAGAACTGTCATACTTCACGCCTACAAGGCTGCAGGACTCGACCCTCCAAGAGCATCTAATCCACATGAGATCAGAGCACTGGCTTCCACACTCGCTCTACACGGTAACTGCTCATTAAATACCATTATGGAGGGCTGCTTTTGGAAATCCGACATGGTGTTTGCTAATCACTATCTGAGAGATATCACCACCGAGGACGTCTCAGGTATTCACCAATTCGGTCCCATGGTCCTCGCACAGCAGTTGACAGTCCCTCGTAGACGATGAGACATAGTCTCACGAGATTATTATGTATATATCATACCAGTATCATCTAGCTTATAACTCTACGGAGTTTTAGGGCTAATTATATACATATCTTAAGTCTACTTAGTCTTAAGCCCAGTACTGATGTTTATGTACAGTTGGGTGGCTTCTCCATTTTGGAGTCGCTTTTATACCATTACTGCTATTATCATAGTATATTATTATTGTAGTACCCCATCTATGGCAGCTGGTAAACATGGTTTATAGTAGCAGGAATTATCCTAATTCAGTGCCATTATGAAGTTCCCGTAGGGGGTTATTACATATATATATAAATCACTAATTATTTAAATACAAAGTATTCTGGTTTTTCCACCACGGTTTCTGTAGGATTCTACAAGCAAAAGAGCATGAGTCAGGATAAGGAAAAATATGTAATTTTCTGAATAAAATTGATATTTTATACTTATCCTGACTCATGAGGTAAGCCCTCCCATCCTGCCCACATAACACTTTGGATTTCCCTGTAAATTCAAGTGTTGGGCTCGCTATATCAGGAGAGAGTGAAGCATGAGGTCAGAGGGTGGCGCCTCCTTTCCCGCGCAAAGGAATAGGGAGGCAACTCGTGGTGAGTACAAATTAGTGATTTTACATTGAAGGGAGCTTCAATTAGGGAGATACAAGTGTTCCACTATGTTCGCAAGAAGAAGACAAGCAAAAGAGCATGAGTCAGGATAAGTATAAAATATCAATTTTATTCAGAAAATTACATATTTATATACTTATCCTATCTCACGCGATGGATGCCCACCCGGCCTCCCCACTACTCAGATTACAACGTTGGCTCCAAGATGAGAATGATCATTCAAGGTAGTCACGTGGGCAATTAGTGGAGCATGCTGCAAGCTTTATTAGGAAATAGGAAGCTAATTAAGGAGAGCAGCATGGAGTGTACGGGCGAATGGACAAGGAGGCCTATGGAAAAAAGTTTACAGTCTTTACACTAAAAGTCGAAGCAAGAGAGAGAGGTGCAAGTCGTGAGATAGGATAAGTATATAAATATACAATTTATATTAAAACTTCCAATTCATGCTAGAATCAATTACAAGAATATCTTACCTTGTGTGTGTGCAAGAGCCTTTGGTTTGTGACAGTCTACACTATAGAGGACTCTTGTTACAAATCAAACAATTATATCGTGTAATCACAGCTGAAATACAGGATTTATGGCTTTGATGTAATGTATTTGCTCTGATGTTGACATTATATACATTTTCATATTTTTCATCTTTTCACACATGACTGCAGTTAATAGGTCATGGCTGTGGTATCTTCCAAATGTCTGTGTGTGGGTGTAAGCTGCAATATGATAAATCTACATGCCAAGGTATTTTGGCAAATCGAAAGCAAGTTTGCTGAGTATATGAATTTGTTTTGTAAAGCAATTGCAAGTATGGTCTGACACGTAGGGCAGATGGTACAAGACACTTTCCTTCAAGGTCTTATTGAGGACAATGAGAAAATTCAACCACTCTCCATTATTAGCATTTTAACCCAAATTCTGCTTCTCAAGCCCTGGGGGTGGTCACTCATTGTCTATACTACTGCTCTTGAGCATTTTCCTGTAAGACATTTACATAGGGTAATCATTGATACTGGTAAAGGGGATAATAATGTTATTACATACAGTTTCTTGTTTACAGGTTTGAGGCACTTGTGGAACGTGAATGGATACAGGCAGGACATCCTTTCCGCAGTCGTTGTTCTAAGTCGGCATATGCTATAACCAAACAGCGCCAGGAGTCACCCATTTTTCTTCTCTTTTTAGACAGTGTGTGGCAAGTAAGTTGTCAAACAAAAGACAATCTTTCCATGATCAACTAATATTTAAGGTGAACAAATGTTGATGCTGTTCAACTAAGAAGAAATATGTTTTTGCTGAATTGTCAGTAATGCTCAGGCATGACAGTATGTCTAGTACAGTCATCCCTCGCCATAACCAGGTCTTGGGGTCTATGGATGACCCCCCGCGTTGTTAGACATCCGCGTTATAGTAACGATTACATAACGCGGAACAAAGGCCAAGTAAAATCGTATTGTCCATGGACGTAACAAAACTGCTATTTCGTGTATTGTGCCCAGTCAAAACTATATCGTATTGTTGGAGGTGAAAAACAACCTAACTTTGTAAATGAAAATAGATGTATGTACATGAAACTTGAATCAAACATCACAAGACATGATAATTCAATTGTTGTTCCTGTCATGCTACCTGTTATTCAACTAAGCCGGAAATAGCAATCAGTTGTGCACATATCGATGTTTTGGTCCAATGTACCGGTGATTCAGTTAAAAACAATCCGAAAATATAACATCAAAGAATTTCTATTCCATTATTAGAATAATTTATATGTCAAGCAGTTATTCTAACAGAGATCTTATATATTGCTATTGCATAAGTATAATGCATGTTTTCTACGAACATATTTAACATAATAATTAGCATTACTAAACACTTTGGGTTACCTGGCTGGATACATTTTACGTAGGAGACAGTTTGACAAGTCAGCGCTGACTTCCTGCTGTACGTGCCATTTTGATTGTAAAAACAAAATGTTGGCAATTAATTGTCAAGTATGACTTCAATGAGTCAATAACGCGGGTCTTGGGGTCAGTGAATGACAAAGCTGTAATCTGTTTGTGATTACTGAGAAAAATGTGAAATTGGTGCTATCGCGGTTGGCGTGAAAAACGGACCCTCACGAATGTGGTAAGCGGACGTTGTATGGAATGAGGTAATGCCATTTCACTCATGGTTTCTCTGTTGTTATTGTAAACAGTTTTAATGAATGAAAATGGGATTGAATTTAATCAAATAAAATGTGTTTTCTGACATCATACATTCTCGGATGGCGGTGTTTACCCGCACAATCACGCGTTGTGTTGCATCACAGCAAACGTTGAAAGTACTCGGCTGATGGCATGTCTTTATGATAAAGTTATTACGATGTTCATCGATTATTATTGAAAAAACCCTGCATGTTTTAAGCATCTGAAAAACCATGGATATGTACGATAAACACTATTAATTGCAATCCACACTGAATTTCACTAGTTTACAACGTGATTAACCAGAGCTGGACAGCGGATTTGTTGATGTGCTATTTTCGATGACGTGAATATGTGTGATCACTGGGCAACTTTTTTATGGGAGCCACGGTTTACCCCGCGATTTAACCGAATCCGCGGTATCGCGAAGAGCGTTATTGCGAGGGATGACTGTATACAGAAGTGACAGTTGTTTCTGACCACAGTTTGCTTCCCAGTGCCCCAGTGCCAAGGTTATGTTCGGGCAGGTATTCCACATGGCTAGTAATTAGCTGGATAACAACAGAATCTTATATCCATTCATTACTACGGGTTACATTTTGGACATCGCTGAATCCTCTAGATCTGTGGAGAAAGATAAACATGAGTAATGTCATTTGAAAATACACAGGCCAGTAGGTACCATCAGAAATTGCAGTAGATTATGATCAAAGTTCATAGATCTAGACTGCTGTTCATTGTCAATCATTTAGACATATGGACCAATCAGAATGTGTAATTTACCTCTGTGTGTTTGTATGGTGTTCCGACATGTAGTGTTTATTGGACCTCCACTTGGCTGGTTTAACACAATGCAAGGGGCACATGTAATTAACCTCTGTATGTTTGTATGGCGTTTCGACATGTAGTGTTTATTGGACCTCCACTTGGCTGGTTAAACACTATGCAAGGGACACATGTAATTTACCTCTGTGTGTTTGTATGGTGTTCCGACATGTGGTGTTTATTGGACCTCCACTTGGCTGGTTAAACACTATGCAAGGGACACATGAAATTTACCTCTGTGTGTTTGTATGGTGTTCTGACATGTAGTGTTTATTGGACCTCCACTTGGCTGGTTAAACACAATGCAACGGGGGCACATGTAATTTACCTCTGTGTGTTTGTATGGCATTCCGACATGTAGTGTTTATTGGACCTCCACTTGGCTGGTTAAACACTATGCAAGGGACACATGTAATTTACCTCTGTGTGTTTGTATGGTGTTCCGACATGTAGTGTTTATTGGACCTCCACTTGGCTGGTTAAACACAATGCAAGGGACACATGTAATTTACCTCTGTGTGTTTGTATGGTGTTCCGACATGTAGTGTTTATTGGACCTCCACTTGGCTGGTTTAACACAATGCAAGGGGCACATGTAATTAACCTCTGTGTGTTTGTATGGCGTTTCGACATGTAGTGTTTATTGGACCTCCACTTGGCTGGTTAAACACTATGCAAGGGACACATGAAATTTACCTCTGTGTGTTTGTATGGTGTTCCGACATGTAGTGTTTATTGGACCTCCACTTGGCTGGTTAAACACAATGCAACGGGGGCACATGTAATTTACCTTTGTGTGTTTGTATGGCATTCCGACATGTAGTGTTTATTGGACCTCCACTTGGCTGGTTAAACACTATGCAAGGGACACATGTAATTTACCTCTGTGTGTTTGTATGGTGTTCCGACATGTAGTGTTTATTGGACCTCCACTTGGCTGGTTAAACACAATGCAAGGGGGCACATGTAATTTACCTCTGTGTGTTTGTATGGTATTCTGTTTGTATGGTGTTCCGACATGTAGTGTTTATTGGACCTCCACTTGGCTGGTTTAACACTATGCAAGGGACACATGTAATTTACCTCTGTGTGTTGGTATGGTGTTCCGACATGTAGTGTTTATTGGACCTCCACTTGGCTGGTTTAACACTATGCAAGGGACACATGTAATTTACCTCTGTGTGTTTGTATGGTGTTCCGACATGTAGTGTTTATTGGACCTCCACTTGGCTGGTTAAACACAATGCAAGGGGCACATGTAATTTACCTCTGTGTGTTTGTATGGTGTTCTGTTTGTATGGTGTTCCGACATGTAGTGTTTATTGGACCTCCACTTGGCTGGTTTAACACTATGCAAGGGACACATGTAATTTACCTCTGTGTGTTTGGATGGTGTTCCGACATGTAGTGTTATAGGACCTCCACTTGGCTGGTTTAACACTATGCAAGGGACACATGTAATTTACCTCTGTGTGTTTGTATGGTGTTCCGACATGTAGTGTTTATTGGACCTCCACTTGGCTGGTTTAACACTATGCAAGGGACACATGTAATTTACCTCTGTGTGTTTGGATGGTGTTCCGACATGTAGTGTTTATTGGACCTCCACTTGGCTGGTTTAACACTATGCAAGGGACACATGTAATTAACCTCTGTGTGTTTGTATGGTGTTCCGACATGTAGTGTTTATTGGACCTCCACTTGGCTGGTTTAACACTATGCAAGGGACACATGTAATTTACCTCTGTGTGTTTGAATGGTGTTCTGTTTGTATGGTGTTCCGACATGTATTAGCTACATATGTTCTTTTTCTTATCCTGACTCATGCTTATTTGCTTGTCTTCTTCTTCTGGCGAACCTAGTGGAACACTAGTTATATCTCCCAATGTTTGACCAAAGTTCCTTCAATACAAAGAAATCACTCATTAGTACTCACCACGAGTTACCTCCCTTTCCCTTCAATAAAAGAAATCACTCATTAGGGAGCGAGGGTGCCACCAAGCCCATGTGCTTCACTCTCTCCTTCTTAAGCCCAGTGAGCTGGACGTGAGAGCACCTGTGTCTCCCAACACACTATATCCTTAATTATATTTAGTTAAGTTCCTCTTATACGTTAGTATAGAGGTAGTACTAGTATAATTATTCAATTTGCATTGATTATTAATTGTGTTTCTGCTGTTTTATTCACGATTCGTCGTGTTTGTTCAGTAGGCTACATTAATGAAAATTTGCACAGAATGTAAACTACGTTATTCTGATACCGATCCACATTTAAAATGCCCTAGTTGCATTACTCCATGTTCCTTTGATTCTCGTTGTAAATTTTGTATCAATTTACCTATCTCTGCCTTTGACAAATATTTATGTTCCGTTTACAGACGGAAGGCAGATAAATCACGTAAACAGAATTCAAACATGGCTAATAGATCGCATATTAATGTTTCATGTCAACTGTTGACTGAGGACACGCCACCGGCTGGTGGCATGCCTGAAGTTCCCTCGGGCGGATAAGCGTGGGGCTTGATCCGCTATGTCCAAGAAGCGACCTGCATCTCAAGAGCTGCCGTCTTCTCAGTCCAAGTCGAGGAAACCATCCATATCATCTCGTACTTTGCGTACACCAAGATCTACACCTTCATCTAAAGGGAAGTCAACAAAATCTAATAATTTTGCCTCTGATATCTTACCAGTTACAGAATTAGCATTATATGATGATGATATGCCTATTATCATTCAGAAGTTCGTCACAAGAAGCGGCCCGTTTCTGCGACTGTCACCTCAGCGCAGATGAACACACAACAGGAGATGCCAACTCTATCACCAGAAATTTTATCTGAGGGTCCGTCACCTCTGCAGAGAGACATCCCTCTTCAGCATGAACCGCTTCAGGCGACTTGATCAACCAGATAATGAGGGTGATGGAAGACCGCTTCTACGGACTTACAGAGGCCTCAGAGCCACGGGCCTCAGAGCCCACCCCATATCAAGTCATACAGGGCCTCAGAGCCCGCCTTGGCCAGCGTAGGGCCTCTGAGCCCATAGGCAGCGCCTCGCGAAGGGCAACCCTGCCGGGTGAGCTCTTTGCATAAGGTATCCCAGGCGCCTCAGCGAAGAGCTAGAGCCGCACCTATTGCAAGAGGCTTGGCGGAGAAGGAGCGCTTCGCCCGAGCACGCACCTTGTCATGCGA